TGCTAGGAGAAAAGGGGCCCACAAGGGGATGACAACAGGAAAATGGCACCACTGTGTGTGGGACCTTTTCAAGGTGGGACCATGCATGTACCTTTCCTACCAGACAATGTGCTAACATTCTTGGACTGTGTTATTTCCAAAAAGATTGGAGTAAAGCAAGGTTGGGAAAGACTGAGGAAGGGGAAAACCTGGAAACAGGTAAACCCTGTTACAACACTCAGGACAATGGAACTCCCAAGGCTTAACAGAGATATTGGCTTCTTATCTCACGACACATGCTAAGTCACACACAAGCTAAGTCACGCAGTTCTCACTTATACCCAGAATTAAACTTTGTCTTAAAGGTGCACTGGATTCAAACTTAGTTCTCACATCTGTTGTTAACTCTTTTATCATCTGTATGCCAGTTTGCTGCTGTGCACAGGTCTTACCAAATGCGTCATTCCAATCTTAGCTGTATTTATTGCTCAGTTATCTTTAATTAGCCCTTTCTGTCAGCTAATCCCTCCTCTACCTATATGCAACATTTGAGGAAATCTGTTTCAATGTATCTAAGAAGTCCGCATCTACCCATGCTAAGTATCTCAGTAATCACATCTGCTTGTTAACTCTTGTATTTGTATGATAATTTGCTGCTATTCACAGATCTTACCAACTACTTTATTCCAATCTCAGCTATAATTGCCCAGTTACTTATGCATCTTGACTCTAACTAGCTCTTCCTGGCAACTACTTATATGTAATGTTTGAGGACATCTTGTTTCACTGTATCTGAAGAAGTGTGTGCACACGAAAGCTTATACCTTGAAGAAAACTTTGTTGGTCTTAATGGTGCCACTGGATTCAGACAGATCATGTTCTCTGTAACTTATTTCCTACCTTCCATTTTTTTTCATTTTAAGGGCCAACTGACACGACTGTCTAATTGAATCAACCCAGATTGATTACGCTGGCGATGCCACAGTTGTCTAATCGCTCAGCCATAGGCTCAGAATGTGAGCTAGTACGCAACTTCAACTAGTCTGCTGAATTCGGAGGATTCTGCTTTATACCATGGACTGGCTTATGTGAAGTTAGTGGGTTTTTTCAGTTCCTAAAATTCTGTGAAAAAGGCAGCCTTGCATGCACAAAAAAGTTTGAATTTCCCCATGGAAAAAAACTAAACACAGTTTCCAAAGCAGCTTTGGAAGGTCGGAATTAAAGATACCCAGCATATGGTGCCTTTGGAAAAGGGACCTAGTTTTGGTGCCTTTGGAAAAAGCAGGGCTACATAATTTTGAACTAATGCTTTTTTCAGATGATTTAAGTCTATACACGCAAAATTGCAATGGATTGCACAGACGTGTAAAAAGGAGAGCAAAGCTTGACTAGTGTAATGTTACTTTTGAAGACTACCTACTGTTATGTCAAGATCTTTCCAATAAGTTATACTTCTGAAATGCAAAATAATAAACTTGAACCAAAACAGTCTGGGAAGAAAGGAAGAAAGCTTCTTGAAAGTTTGATTTTGTACAGAAAGCTGAATCATTGGAGTGCCTAAAGAGACGGAGTCTAGCTAGAGGTTGTTCCTCAGCTTGGCTTTACCTCTTCATGATTCTGTGACAGTGAAGTCAGTTCTTCTTTCATGTTTTCAATCTGATTCTCCAGGTCCATTTTAGTCAAATTAGCATCATCAATCACTTTGTAGAGGGAGTTAATTTCATCTTCCATTGCCTTCCTAAATGGTTGTTCATTTTCATACCTGCAAAGGAAATGGACAATACGTCCAACGTAGCACAGTGCTCAGTCTTCTGGCAGAGACATTTATCACCCATTGAAGTCATAGCTGTACATCACAGATGGGTGTTCCATGAGTCAGTCCCCTTCACTAGCACTAACCCCTTTTTCTGTTCCCAGTAAGACTCTCACTGTTCTCTTCCATGTCAGTGTGGAAGTAAACTAAGAGTTACCTGTCTTTTTTTTAGCCAGCAACAATCTATTTTATTTCCCAATTAATATGATGCAATCAGCAATACAATTATACAGTACCCACCAAACAATATGATAAAAGAGTCCATATAGTCCCTCTTTCTTATACAGTGCTCCTTTTTATCAATTTTCCCATTTTCCAAATCCAAGCTTATACCTTCATTACTTCCTTTTTTTTACCATTTCCAAAGGAAAGTTCTTATTCCAAAAGTACATAAAAGGAATTCAATGTTGAGCAAAAAGTCTCTGGGCATGTTTCTTATTATCATCTTGTTTCAGCATTGATATTTTGTCGATAATCATAAGAAACCATATTTTACTATTTATCTAGACTTGGTAGAGTACACTGCTTCCAGTCTTTAGCAGTTAGCATTCTAACTGCTACCAAAAGATTTAAAGCGAAATACCATAAATTTGGGGGTAACGGCTCAGTTATTATAACCCACAAGACAAGTCAAAGGCATAGAAATGGTGATCTTCCCTGTGATACTGCTTTCTGTGTCACATTCTACATATGGAGATAAGCGTTACCTCTCTTTAATGTCTTCAGCACAGGCTTGAATGTTTTCTGTCTGTAACATGAGCCGAGCATTTTCAAGGACTGCATCCCCAACCTAGAACAGTTCAAGTAATCAAATACAAAAAACACATACAACCTCATTCTAGAATTGGACCAGGCAATGGATTTGAACAACATGGGTCAGCTGGGTGCATTCCATGGCATTAACCAAAGGCTGCATGGAGGCCATTTTAAATTGCTCCCCATTGGCAGCATGGAGGAAATAACAGAATAAGCAACCCCCTCCAGAATACTTTGAATCTAAAAAGGCTTTATACCAACTTTATAAGATGAAGCAGAAAAATTTTCTGATTAAAAGTTGGAAACCCCTCTTGCAGGCTACAATTAATAATGATTCAAGGAAATTTTAGGCCTTGGTAGCCGAGTCCATGGGAAGAAAAGGGTCAGTAAACAGCTTAGTTACAGCCGACGGCTGGTACAATTATTTCACGATGATCTTACAGAAGACCAGGCACAATCCCGAAGAGGATTTTGACATTTGTCTGGATGATTGCCCCAGTTGGGCCCCTGTGCAGATTGAGGAGACTGAATCTTTAAATGCAGCCCTTAAATTGGGAAAAGCTCCAAGGTCTGATGCTATTCCACCTGAGGCTATTAAGGCTTTGCCTCAGTGGTGGCCCCCCTTCCTAGCAGCCCTTTTTACAGCCTTAGATCGGTCTGGTGCAGTACCAGATGATTGGAAGAACGCCATATTAGTCCCGATCTTTAAAAAAGGTGATCCTCAGCTCCCAAATAATTATAGACCGATCAGTCTCTTATCCATTATGGGGAAGCTATATGCCAATCACTTAGCCAATAAACTGAAATCTTGGATATCAGACCAGCAAAATTTGGGGCCGGAGCAAATTGGCTTCTGTCAGGGCAAGTCAACCCTAGATCACTGCATTGTTCTCAGTCATCTAGTAAATAAATATAGGAAAGGGAAAGGACCTAAATTATACCCAGCTTTCTTAGATCTCAAGGGAGCTTTTGATTCAGTGCCCAGGGATATCTTGTGGAGGAAACTGAATAATATGGGGATTGATAAACGTCTGCTCTTCTTGGTAAAAAACCTCTACTCAGAAACTACTTGCCAGGTGAGATATTCAAAAGAAGGCGACCTAACACCACAAATTGCTATTTCAGTGGGTGTCAAGCAAGGTTGTATCCTGGCCCCGATATTGTTCAATCTCTTTTTGAATGATCTGGCACCCTTTATGAGTGGTGTTGTCATTTCCCCAAGCTAGGAGTAAGACACTACCCCTTATTGTTATATGCCGATCACACTGTCCTGTCACTTTCAAAGGTTGGGATGAAAAGGATGCCAATGCACTTTTCAGTATATTGTGATAAGAACCTGCTGTCCCTCAATTTTGATAAGTCAAAAATTATTGTGTTCGGTCGGAGTTGGAAACCCTCTAAATGGACTGTTCGAGGAAATCCTATCGAACAGGTGAAGAGTTTCAGATACCTTCGTATACACTTCCATTACAATGCTAACTGGGTCTCCCACACTAAGGAGGTTGTAAAATCAGTGAATAGCAGTGAACCTGCAATTTCCCACT